GGGGGTCCGGGGGTGAAACCCCTACCCCGGATTGGGCCCCGGGGATCCCCGCGTGACAACCCTGGAGTGAATGCTGGGTGACCGTCAACCCGAATGCATGGGAATCCTTACGATGCATAATATGTGTGAAGAGTCGGAAGACTGCCGCCTATTGTCTTTGCTACATGCAAGAATGCGGATGTGGCAGTAATTTGACTGAGCTGTTGATAGTGCTTGAGTCTCATGTCTTTTTGTGGCTCCTAAGGGATGTGGTTGTTGGTTGATGTGTTGAAATTTCGGTCTCTCTGTTCATACGACCAGGGTGGCATGGGAGCCGATCAGCAAAGGGTCAAGCCGGGAAGCGCAAGCGGACAGTCTGACACTGCCCAGAATTATGGTATGGGGGGGGCTAGGGGGGGGGGTATGCCACCAACAGGGTCGTCTGGGTCTGGTTACGGAGGTGGAGTCAGCTCTTTACAGATGTCTGGGAGTCAGGGTGTTGGTGGCATGGGTGGGAAGCTTGGTGATTACAGTTTGGGGGGTGGCCAGGGTGGAACATATGGTTCTAAGGCTGTAGACTATGGGATGGGAGGTGGGTCTGTTGGACCTGCTGGAGGATTCAAGACGGATTATATGGGCTCTGCAGGTGCTGCAGGAGCTCCTGGTGGAAGTGTTGGTTATGGTGGCAAAGGCTCCGATTACACTGGCGGGTACTCTTCAGGAGGCCTGAATGCGACAAGTCCTGGCATGCATGGTGGATATGGCTCCAATCTGGGTTCTTCGGGTTCTGTGGATCGGGCAGAAGGGCATGGGGGTCAATATGGCCAACAAGGAACGGCTGGTGTGGGCCATCCTTATGGTCGAGGTGATGCGCAGGGGACAGTGTCACAGGACTCGATTCTGAAAGAGAAGCATCGTGAGGTGGGTGTGATGCCTGCTTTGTTTTGGCATCAAGTACTAATAGCAGTTCTTGTTCACCCTACGGGCTTGAGTTCGTCGAGTGATTGTGTGGGTGATTGGGACTGATTTGGAGTACTAGAAATAGGAAAGATAGTCTGATGAATGTTTTGACCGATGAAGTTAGTCTGATGGATTGTTTGACCACTGCAGTTGTAGTGGACACTGTCAGCAGCGGAGGGGCTGGGCGACAGGGTTTGGTTTAGAGTCTGAGCAACATAAATGACAGTGTGTTACAGTAGTGTGATTCATACTGCTGCCAATGGTTTTGCCGATTCATGGGGGGTTGGTGACTGATTGATTGGTGGGTTGCAGTTCTCAATGGGTTGGGCTGATTAGGGAATTAGACTCACTTTCAGAGATGAGCATTTTCTTTTTGAATCGGCACTTCACCCAACCCGACATAATTTTTTAAGCACAACCCACCCTCAAAGAAACAAAAACAAAAAATCTCAAGGTGATGCAACCCACCCGAGTGTGTTTTTCGAAAATTTCCCCCGACACCAAACCCGCCCGTCACCCATAAAAAACCTTCACCCTCACCCACCCACACCTGCGAGAACAAAATTACCCACCCGCACCCGGTACCTAATTATTTTCCACCCGCACCCGCTCATTCCCCATTGTCTCAGTCCCTTCGAACATTTGCATGCACCATAGCAACATGACATCCTTGGATGACGGCCCGAAACTTTGAAGCATCTCTGCATGCAGAGATTCAAATCGCTCACAAGTTTGAAATTGGCTAGTGAACTCAAGGCTTGCCACTTGCTGTGGTTAGGTCTGATCCTCGTTGTTTTAATTGGAGCGAACATCTCGTTGTTTAGGCCATGGTCCAACTGCCACCAGTAGAACGTGACACATTTTTTCAAGGACCCCAAATTTTGATTTGCCACTGGCGCGGGTCTTTTTTTTTTAGGACCACAACTTCTTTTTCCAGGGGCCCCAGGGTGTCTGTGGGTCGGGTGACCCAGGCCTAGCGCTCACCCGCTTGTCACCCACCCATTCGGGTGACCCTGGCCTAACATTGACCCGCCCGTCACCCACCCAGGCTTGCTCGCCTAGACCCACCCTCATCCCACCCATGCCAGCTTATCAAGACCCACACCTGACCCAATGCCTCGTGGGTGGGGTGGGTGCGGGTGGGTGTGGGTCTGGGTACCGGTTGCTCATCTCTGCTGGCATGGGGCTTGGGTCTGCATTTGTCTGGTACAACAGCTTGATTGTTTCTCAGTGAGTCGGGCTGATTAGGGAATTAGCCTCACTCGTCTTCTGGAGGCAACCTCAGTTTGCTTCATGAGAGAGGCGTGGGGCTTGGTTTTGCATTTGTCTGGTACAACAGCTTGATTGTTCCAGTTTATTTCCTCTGCACCTCTGTTCTTTGTCAGGAGCGTGTCTTCGTGTGTGTCTGCTGATTCTCTGGATGTTGTGGTATTGATTTTGGCCCGCCTCTGGCAAGCGTGTTTTCTTCCCTTCCTACCTGTGCATTCACGTAACCTACATGTTTTCTTAGAATCTCTCTTCTGCCCGGCGCGTGGCGGTTTCTTCCTGGCAGACCTGGCTGGTGCTATATGTTTGTGCGGTGCAACCATGAACCTGGTGACAAGAATCTCCAGATTCATGCTACATTCACACGAAGATATTGCCAGCGGTGCCTCGCCCTTTTCCACTTGCTTTCTTTGGTTGCTTGTAAATGATGAAAAACTTTAGAGAAAGAGCTCAGACCTCCTAGCAAGGGATATGTTTTTCAATGTGTTAGTCGCTTGAGTGTGTCTATCATTCATGTGTGTCATATTTGTGGTTCCACAGTCGGGCTGTTCCCTTGCAGTGTGTATATTCAACGAAAACTTGTCCGAAACATTGCAACAATGGGAAGCATCCCTTGTTCCAAAGTAACACTTGGCAGTTGGTTGGTCTGTCTCGTGTTCTGTGATATGATTAGTTGAGATATCATTTGAACTGCTGGCGAATCATGTGGGATGAATTGCTGGTGATATTTGTTCACTTTGTGTGTTTTTCGCTTTGAGGCCTGAAATCATGAGGGAACTACCATGGAGAGAGAAGGTTAACAACAGTCGTATTTTTCATCACCACTTCAAGACACCCTACCACTTCAGGATGCAGCCTGCCTAAACAGGTAGTTTTCAGGGTCTTCGGACCTATCACCACTTCAGGACACCCTTCACCACTTCAGGATGCAGCCTGCCTAAACAAGTGGTTTTCAGGGTCTTCGGACCTTTCACCACTTGAGGACACCCTTCACCACTGAAGGATGCAGCCTGCCTAAACAGGTGGTTTTCAGGGTCCTCGGACCTTTCACCACTTTCGGACCATTCATGACTTTCACACTGCCCAAAACACTCACTCCACCACTTCAGGATGCAGCCTGCCTAAATAGGTGGTTTTCAGGGTCTTCGGACTTTTCACCACTTCAGGACCATTTGGGATTTTTCGACTGCCCAAAACTCTCACTTCAGAATTTTCATTCCTGAATTTTCAACTACCCGTTAATCGCTTGTGTTTCATCTGGGCAAGGTCCTGGTTAAGGTCCTGTGCAGTCCCAGTGCAAAAATAATAATAAAAACTCAGAAAAATCTAGAAAAATGCTATCTTATGCAGAATTGTCAATCAAACAGAATATGGCTGACTTTCACTCCAAAGACTTGTTATGACATAGACAATAAAGAGGAAAAACAAGTCCTGTACATCCGTTAAAATTGGAACGATACAGAGAAGATTAGGCAAGCGGCGTAATTTCAGTTGGTTGAGCGCGTAAGTGATACACAGGAGGTCGCGGGTTTGATTCCCCACATCATCCATTTGGTTCCCCACGGACCCCTGTGGCATGCTTCGGGTTCACCGGCTGAGAAAGTCAGCTTGTCTGTGCTGGCTGGTTGTAGAAGTTGCATTTGACTTTGCAGCGCATGCCAGGTGTTCGGAGCTTACGTGCTGCTCCCCGCACCGAGCAGTATTAGGTAGTTGTGGACCCATGACCTCAGGATAGCTTAGCTTCGGGTAGTAGATTTAAGGGTAGTTCTTAGCTGGTGGAGGTGCATACATAGGTTCCAGCCTCAGATCCTGCACCTTAGACTCTAGTCTTAGACCCTAGATTCCCTTGCTGTGTGGAAGGGTCCCTGTTTGTCCAGGTAGGTAGTGTGAGGTGAAATACAGAGAGAAGATGATAGCATAGTAAAATGTGGCTGTCACCCATATGAGGAGAAGACAAGGCTGCATTTTTTCTTTAAAAAAAAATAAATAAAATTCAAATTATCTGTGTACGGATCCGGGCCGCCCGGCCGACCAGCGCCTGCCCGGGGGAGGTCCCGGGCGGCCTGGCCGGGCGGGCAGCCCGGTTGGGGCCCGGGCACCCCCAGCACACCTTGTTGGGGGGGGGTTCCGACCCCGAATCGCCAAGTTCTGGCCTGCCCAGGGCCTACCGGGTCCGACCAGGCCCAAAAAACAGGGCGTCGGGCCCGTGAGGCCATTTTTTTTTTTTGAATTTGTGACGGTTCTCCGGCCGTCGATCATCCATGATTGACGGCCAGAGGGCCGTTTGTTTTTTGGAGGGAAAATCAAGGCCCCGTTTGAACATCCGACTGGCTGGGGCGGCCTGCATCGGCTGTCCAAACGGGGCCCCTTCTCCAGCTGCCTGAGTTCGTGGTTCAGCCGCTCTCGCTCCTCGCACTGCCCGTTGTCGCCATCGCCTGGGAGCTGCACTCCCCCGTCGTCGTGGAGTCGCCCGTCGCTTGTCCCCCTCTCATCATCATCTTCTTCTTCTTCTTCTTCTTCTTCTTCTTCTTCTTCTTCTTCTTCCTCTTCTTCTTCTTCCTCTTCTT